TGCAGAGGCGTTAATCGAGCTCGAAACCGTACGAAACTGTCCGCTTCCAGAGATTCTCTAATTCGTCAAACCGGATTTTCGTTAATCCTCCGTTAATACTACCGGTCTTCCTTCCTATTCCATTTCGCTTACGAGCCGGCCAACAGGTCGACAAATACATTTTCACAAAATGCTTGCGAAAAAATCTCTTCTCATTTTTCCTATCGAATTGAACGCTATCGAAAATGTATTACGCAGAGTGTCCATCTATAAATTTGCAATTACAGTTATCTATCAACGGTATCTATCGAACGATAAAGTAAAACGTTAAAATGAAACTGTGATCTTAAAATTTCGTCGATTGCATTTGCCAACTTCTGATAGCAGTACAACAGTATTGAATAATAAATGAAAATGTTAAGATTGAATTACCATTGTACATATTGCTCAGTAAAAAATTTTCTCAGTAACTGAATGCACTGCACTTTTTGCAATTTTTGATAGCAGTGTGATAGTGAATATTAAACAACAAGCTAAAATACTAAAATTAATCTACGATCGTGAAATATTGATCGATGTTACGAATCCACTGCCTTTCCACCACACATTGTTATCAGATACTATTATAATATTCTTATTAACATTATTATTATTAGATAATAAAAGTGGGCCTCTTGTCGCCGGGGTTCTTCCCTTTGGGCCTGGCTATCGTCGCCCGCTTTCTCTCTCATCCTCACAATTACGATACTACATTACTATTAACAATATTATTAGATATTATTATTATCAGAACCAAACACCTTTACAATTATAAACCAAAACGCCAAGCAACCCACGAAGCGACGCTCGACTCCAGGCCCTTTTCCTGACCATTGACTGGTCGGAAGCAAGGTGCCAAGGCTAGTTTAAAACCGACAGATAGTCTAAGACGATACTCCTAGAACGCCTGCATGACTTCGACTTCATTTTTAATTAGCAAATTTCTTTTTTACAATACCTAATGTCTCCAAAGTGTTTTAGAGTATAGGGCGGATTTACGCCAGCTGACTCTACACCAAATTCAAGCAAAAATCTACACTGCCTAGAACGACACCCGTTCGAACTAAACATTTAATAAAACGACATCAAACACATTTCTGGAATTTCACGCCTTTAACCAACTCGAAACGAAGGCGATCTCAACCGTTCCGTAGCAAATGCGTTGCATTTTTTACAATTTTTGATAGCAATGTAATAGCAAATATTAAATAAACTAAAGTATTGAATTTAAAAATTTTCTCAGTAATTGAACGCGTCGCATTTTTTGCAATTTTTGATAGCAATGTGACGGTGAATATTAAATAACAAACTAAAATACTAAAATTGCATACAATCATTGAATGCGTTGCATTATCAATTGCCGATAGCAATATAATATTATCAAACTAAACTACGATCGTGAAATACTGATCACCAAAAAATTTTCCCAATTCATCAATTTTATCTCCGTAAAAAGAACGTCACCGTCGATTCACGCTTGCTCTAATCAGAAACAAATGGCAGACGTGATATCTCGGTCCTCGAACGAAGTGAAAACACGGCCTGGAGTCCCCGTTTGCCAAATTTCTTCAGAGAAGAGAAAATGCAATAAAGCTCGACCCATATTTTCGAGAGGCACGAATGTAGAGGAGATCGATCGAGCATCGATGCGTTGCGTTTCAGTCGTAAACGGCCCCGCGCAATGACCAACGACGATGCTGTTCGGGCCATCAAAAGATCGCGTTGACGACAGTCAGCGAATAAAAACTGCGCGTGTGACCACGGAAGATTTCCTCTTCGCCGTTTGTTTTACGTGCTGCCTGACACGTTTTACGACTGCCGCACTCGGCAGATTCCCGATCGGGACTAGATACCTGGAAAATTCAACTCCGACCCTCTTGCGCCCTTCTGCACTTTATTTCTTTAAAAAGAACAAGGATGAGCTGTATTCTGAGTGCAACTTTTCCTAATTAAATTCCCTCGAATTTTATTGTTCTTAAATTTAACTCCTTTTTCTTCTAAATCGCACCAGTCGATAGTCGATTATTTTTATCGCTTGAAAATACTTGCCATTCCCTTTTCTCATCTCGAACAAATTTTCGAAAATTAATGTGGGATTTTGTTAAATACTTTTGCGTTTATTTGAATAAAAGTAGTCGCCGGTGCTGTTCACTTGTAATCTTCCCTTTTATTATCCTCACCGCTGCTCCGATTCGCTCCCTTCCGGCTCGATGCTTCTCGTTTTCTTCACACTCTTCTTCCCTTTTTCCACGCACGCATCCACATACAACACACTCACACACGCCGCGATCGGCTTGACAACCCATGTTGTCTAAACATAACAAACACGCCACGCACGATCGTCTTCCATTCGTTCTTCCTTTCCAGGCCATTCGCACCAACTCTCTCACATTCACTCTTTCATACCAAAATCCCCACGTTAATTTCTTCGAAATTAATTTTTCAATTTCGATCCGTTAACTTTTCCGAAAGGGAGAAAGCACGAAGCTTGTCTAAAAAAGAAACTTATGAACGAGTATTCGTGTTCACCCGTTGAAGTTTAAATTAACCCCTTAACATATGACAACTCGTCAGACACGTGGCAGAGATTCTGGCGAAGATGTGAGAAAAACAGTTGTATTAGTAAGAAAAATTAATAGTAATCCTAATTTTCTTTTAAATTTGTAGGACTGACGATTGCTGAATGTAATTAATCTGTGACAGATTAGTTTTTGTTACCTGATACAGTACTGAAGCAGAAAATGTTTTAATTTGTAGGACTGAGGATTGATGAATGTAATTAATCTGTGACAGATTAGTTTTTGTTACCTGATACAGTACTGAAGCAGAAAATGGCTGACGCTTAGGTGCATAGTCAGAAAAGAAATCATAGGTCAAGGGGCTAACCTACATAAAAGTATAAGAGTTTTGTGAGGTGGAAGAGTACAGACATCTCGTTCAATTTTTTAAACATCGATTTTCGAAAGAAAGTTGAGGAAAAATCGCCGAGGTACCAAACTTTTTTTCGCGATTAAATTTCGTTTTATCTCGACGTCTGGAACATTCGTTCACTTTCGTTCAGACGGGGGGAAATTGTTCCGCCTGTTAAAGGGAATAAGCGAGGAGCTGACGTTAGTTCACGGTGGTCGTGCATGTTGCAATAATTGCCGAGCCGCGTTAACAATTCAGCAACGAAGGCAGCCGAACCTCGAGCAGCTGTGCATTTTCTATCTCTTCACGTGGGCTAAACGTTACTTCTTTGAACCTCGAAAGCCTCCCAAAAGGGGTACACACAACCGTCTGTATATTTTCGTCGTACGATCAATTTCGTTGTTTCTTTTTTTTTTTTATGTGAAGGAGAAGAATTGGAGAAAATCTAGGAGAGAATCTGTTTGGAAGTTTCCTCGAATGAAAGTCGATAAAAGGCGATGGAAACTCGCTGCTTACGTCCCTTCTTTGGAAATGCCCACGTCTTATACCGGTGGAGATGTAAACATTTCTTCGATTCTTGTGGAGGGAGAGAGTAAGATCGAATAAATAAAACTTTTCTATAGTAAATGTAAATTTTTGTCACGCATAAAAAAATCAGTATACAATCCTAAGTCTTCTCTATGGAATAAAATAAAAAATGTACCTTTAAGAGCTTTCGTCGTTACATTTAATTATGAAATTTACATTTAAAATCGCTCCAGATTAAATTTAAATCCGTCAGCTGTCGGTGAAATTTTCATAATGGAGATTTTTCAGCCAATAATTTGGGAAATAATTCATTTCTGTCATTACGTCTCTTTATATATATTCAATTACGAAATTTTCATCTAAAATCGCTCTTAATTAAATTTAAATCCCTCAGCTATCAGTGAATTCTTTATCGATCTGACAGAACCTGAAGGAACGAAGACTTTCCAGCCAATAATTTTGAAAATGAAAGGTCATTCTTGTCACTACATCTTTTCACACATTTAATTACGAAATTTTCATCTAAAATCGCTTCTGATTAAATTTAAATCTCACAGCTGTCAGTGAAACTTTCATAAACGTGATAGACCCTAAATAAATGGAGATTATATAATGAACACCTTCGCTATCTCGACAAACTCTAACCTCCCAAAAATCAGCCGGCGAATTTCGCTGGAGAATTAGCGTGGGAAGGTCCTGTTGCATTCGCCGTCGTTATTTCACGATTCCATTATATAATTTGTTGCAGGTGGTAGCGGAAACAGAAGGAAAATCATCCGGAGTCAGGTAGGAGAGAGAACGCGTAGCTGTTGCGCGATTGGTCGCCGTTAGGGATGTCGGAACACTTCGTGGGTGGTTGGGAGCTACTATATAAAGCGTTTCACGGATCATGCTACATCGCAGTTGCTCTTACGTGTTGCTTCATCCACGTTTCCACAAAATTTTCCGCGCTGAAACGTGTCCCTTTTTCCCTCGCGTTGCACGTTCTCCTCAAAATCCGCCGCGTCATCCTACACGCCAGCAGGATCGTCCACAGATCTAGGGCTCGACGGTCAATTGTGCCATTATTCGTGATTACAGGAGATGAGGGAATAATTGGAGGAAAGATTCGAGGGATAATCGCGAGGAGAGAGAGAGAGAGAAACAAGGAATTCTCAGTTCTATACCTAGGTCGATTTTATTGGAGTATCGAAAGAAGGAATCTATACAAGGAAAGTAAATTACAAACGTATAAGTATCACTGTTCGAATTAATCGGTGAAATGTAAAAGATTTAGTGCTTCTTTTTTGAATACAAAGTATGTATTTCTTGAAAATATGTTTTATTCCAATAGAAATCGCAGATTGGAAAAAGTAGAGTAAAAGTGGTAGAATTCGTTTCTTTTCGTGGCTCTGAGGAACAAGTATTTCACACTTATCCAGTGACTTAGATGTAACGAAATTGTTCAGTCGAGAAAGACAGTCGAAACGACAGAAATTTGAGATAAAGAAGAAAGGGTCAGAGTGTGGAAAATATTCGGGCGTTGTTTTTACAGGCGAGAGAGAATGCTTTCGCGGGGTAGAAAGGCTCAATTGGTGCCGTGTTTCGGTAGCGTAGAGATCATGATGTGTTTCTGGATCGCGTGTGCCATTCTAACTCTGGTCGCCTCCCAGCAGAAATTCTACATTCAGGGCCGATATGGTAAAAGGCAGGAACCACGTACAGGTGAGTCACCAGGTTATCTCGATTAATAAAATTGCCAAGATGTCCACTGAGAATCCTTCTCGTTCGTGGAGTTACCAAATTAAACCGGTTCTCAGCGGTTCTTCCTTCCTCCAAATCTAAATTACCACGACGCGTGTCACCTGTAATTAATTAGCTAATTAAGAGAAACTCCTGAAAAAATTAATTCTATACTATAGCAATTTCTGTTAAATTACGCGAAAGTAAAGTTGCAATCTTAAGAAATTCATTCAACAGCAAATCGCACTGCAGAAATTTATATTGCGAAGCTGCAATCATTTCCAGTGTAATCTATCAATTAGCGTTATTTTTTACGTATCGAGAGATCGTAAGTCTCGTCTATTTTGCCTATCTCGATATGTCAGAATTGCATCAAACATCCCCAGTCTGGCGCAATCTACGCACGATTTCCCCTCCGAACCCCGTTTCTGCGGTGTAAAACGTGCCGGGTCTCCATTAATTTTCCAACCGCGGACGCTTTTACGAACTCGTTCTCGGCGTTACACCTTTCTAATCAGAAACATTGCGGTCGTTCTGCTGACCGTTCTTCAACGGTCGTCCTCCAATTAGACCGTTTCCGGTTCCTAGAAACTCGATCCGTTTAACCCGCGAACACGAGATCCTCAAGTCCTGCGTGGATTCGAAACGGAACTTCCCATAAATACACACTCTCTTTTGTCGCAGCAGACTCGCTGACACGCCTCCCCTCGTTCCTCCAATTAAGGAAACTTCTCGTTCGAACGAGAATTCCTGCTTCTTTTGTTTCATCTTACACCGTTGATAATTCTGTCGTACCTGCGAACGTTCCGCCCTTTGATTCAATAAAGGCAATTAGCCGAACCGGCTGTATCGACGTCAAAGCAACAAGTAATTTACCAAGTGACGTAAATTATGTGTAATACATAAGGCAGATATATTGGAAATTCTGTCGCAAATATAGCCCGGAAAAGTTCGTTGATCTTCCCTTCGCTCCGACTCCTCCTCCATTAGTTCCGCTTTAAGCGTCCGTTTAATTACGATATTCCGGGAAATTGTCGAACACCGAACGATATTTCCTCCTTAGAATTGTGGAATTGGAAATACAGATAGATGTTTGTTAACAAAATATGCGAACAACTATGATACATTTGACTGTGACCCGCGCTTCTTCTATTCACGCCTCTCGACTTTTCCAAACACACTGTCCTTCCATCTTATTCTTTCTTTTTTGGTTCCTTGTGGGATGAATCCTTTACGAATCCGTTCCTAGATACTACGGCCTCTTTATCGGATGCCTTGAGAGGTTAATGTTGTTACCGTCGATGATGTCGGTATGGCAGATGCCTGCATGAGATGGACTAGGAAAAATTTTCAAAAAAACCCTGTCGTTCGATCCCTCGCACGCCATACTTTATAGGCAGCCGGGGTTTTTCCCGTTGGGCCTGGCTATCGTCACACTTACGCTCGCCACATTTTGCTTGGAACTACGCTTTCTCAAAATCACTACACCACAGAATTTCCTTTGAACCGGGAATTGTAAAGATACTCCTGTTTGCAGATTCGTTCTTCGTGACAGGAGGCAGGTATGGGCGCAGCGAAAGCTTGCAGAAGGAGAGCAAATCGTTGCCAAAGTTTGTCGAACTGGCTCCAAGGGTGGATCGATACTACTGGGGCAGTCGATACGGGAAAAGATCTCATCCCGACTATCGACCAGTCTCGTCTGTCAATCGATTCAGCGCCGTGTTGAACTTCATGGATCAGGTGAACCTCGATCGGGAGAACGAGGCGAGCAACGGGAACGATCTGAATCTTCTGTCCTAAGATCATTTCGTCGGTAAGAATTCATTCTCGTTTCGTGTTAACGAAAGCCACCGGAAACATGTAGAATGCATAAATGATAGAAAATTAGTGGGTAGAACAGCTTCTACACCTCGCGTGGAAACTAGATAGAATTCGTTTAATTATTAACAGGATAAATGTAATATATACGACCAAGCATTGAAGTCACTATCTAACTCGAACAGCGATATTCCGGGTATTCTACATATTTCACGAATGGAAACTAAGCGAGAGCGCAAAAAGTGTCGGTAATTTTGTAGAATCGTTGATAAGTTGAACATCGGTTTCATTCATCGCGGAGAAAAGTGAATATACGAAAACAGAGATGTTTTGCGTTCTCGTGCATTGAAACGAGTTTTATCTCTTTGTGCCCATTGAAATTCCCGACAATTTTGCAACGCGGCATTTCCCGGAGCAATTTATAGAAATTTCCCAATTAGAAGCTGGCAAGTTTTCGATGATAAATTCGTCCAGTTAAAATCCGATTGTCTCTCCGGCGAGGAGAGAGAACAGTTGCCGCGTACGTTTTTCCACCTAAATTAACAACTGGGAGAAGTTTCTCACCGCTCGAGGGGTTTCTAAACCCTTTCGAGAACAAAGAGATAATCTCGTTTGAGAGATAGTGGTAATTTTTCTCGAATGGAAGACGCAGCTAAACCCCTTTGCACCACATTCCCCCGTCTCTTTTCTCCTTTACTTTGCAGACACCTGTGAGGACTCGGCTTTTATGCAAACGAAACGAACCGACAGAAAGAAGATCTCGATTTTCTAATCAAGTCCTCCGTAATGATTACTTCTAAATAATTAACAGAATAATAAAAGAGGGAGAGAAGGAAACGGCGAAAGTGTAAAGATATCGTGACAAAATCCATCGAATACACAGTCAGAGGAGAAAGAAAAGAAAGGAAAATATAAGCTTCAGTTTACGCAATATCTCGTAGAATCTCTTCTCCTTCTTCCCAATTTATCCTGCTTGTTTTCCGCCGTGTTTAAACTATCGATTACTCGTTCAAGTAATTTCACGCCATTTACTTTGCATACTCTCCGTTCGAGGCCGACTCGATTCTCTCGCGGGGATAATTGTTCCTTTTTTCACCCGGTTTAACAGGATTTCATTAATTTTGCAAAAGTTTCGTCGGCTAGGCAGTAGTAGATGTCGGCAGTAGGTCAGCCCACCGGGAAATTTCTCCTTCCTTTTGCGTTTTTCTCAACTCCCCGCGTCCCCAGAGTTCCCGCTATCTTATTGCTAATCCCTTTTATTCAACATCGGTCAACGTCATCGAGGAGTTTCAAGTGGACAGACAGACGGCTGGGATCTCCGCTTTAAAAGATTTCTCCTGTTTCTTCTTTAATCGGCTCGCGGGCTTTTTCTT